CTGCCCTGCCCGCGTGTCCCTGTCCCACTGCAGATTGCTGCGCAGATCTGCCGGCAGGCTGGCCTGGTGAAGAAGTCCAAGGACGTGGTGGACTACCACGAGGACAACTTTGCCATCGTCTTCGCTGCCATGGGGGTGAGTGGGGGCCGGGATGGGACAGCTCAGCATCCCTCAGCAAAACCTGTCCTGGGGGAGTCCAAACGGCGCAGGACGTGTAGGCAGCTCTGCTGCCACCTCCTCGCACCACCTCAGCCCCTGTCTGCCTCAGTTTCCCTGTGCGTGAAGCTGCCCTGCTCCTGCTGACCGGCCTCTCCTCCCTGGGGGGCAGGTGAACATGGAGACGGCTCGCTTCTTCAAGTCGGACTTTGAGGAGAATGGCTCCATGGAGAACGTGTGCCTCTTCCTCAACCCGGCCAATGACCCCACCTGAGCGAGCCCATGGCTCTGGTGTTCCTCCCCCTCCCCCTCCTCCTTCTCCTCCTCCTCCTCCTCCTCCTCCTCCTCCTCCTCATTTCTCCTTCTTCTCCTCCTCATTTCTCCTTCTTCTCCTCCTCCTTTCTCCTTCTTCTCCTCCTCCTTTCTCCTCCTTTCTCCTCCTCTTCCTCCTCCTCCTCCTTCTTCACCTTCTCCTTCCCCTTTTTCTTCTTCTCCTTTCCCTTCCCCTTTTCCTTCTCCTTCTCCTTTCCCTTCCTCTTCCCCTTCTCCTCCTCCCTCCCTGCTGAGGCACCTCCAGCATGGTCCAGCAAGGGGCACTTTGGGGGTGCAGGGGGGTGGGTGCAGGCTGGGCTTCGAGCTGCCCCCCGTGTGCCCTGACCAGCATGCTGCTGGGTGGGGGGACCCCCCCCATTGTCAAGACTGGGGGATCTGCTTGGCAGAGTAGGGGACCACCCTTGGCAGGGCTGGGGGACCCCCTGGGCAGGGTGAGGGGACCCCTCATTTTTGAGACTGGGGGATCTCTTGGCAGGGTGGGGGACCCCCTGGGCAGCTGGCACCAAACACAGCCACCTCGGGTGCCCGTGCCTTCCTGCAGGAGCTATGGGCCGATGCCCTGGGTGGGCAGTGGGTGCCTCCCTCCTCCTCCTGCTCCTCCTCCTCCTCCTCCTCGGCCATCGCCTGGTCCCAGCTCGAGGACCCCGAGGGTCTCTCTGGGGGAGTTGGAGGGATCTGGGGGTGCCCACCCTGTGCCCTGACAGGATCGAGCGGATCATAACGCCCCGATTGGCCCTGACCACCGCCGAGTTCCTTGCCTACCAGTGCGAGAAGCATGTGCTGGTGATCCTGACCGACATGAGCTCCTACGCTGAGGCCCTGCGGGAGGTCAGCAGGTGCCCCCAGGCTCTGCGCCCAGCCCCTCTGGCCTTCTCCTGTGGCAGGGGATGGGGACACTGCCCTGTTCGGGTGCCCAGGGTGCCTGGGGTGCCCAGGGTACTTGGGGTGTTTGGGATGCCTGGGGTGCTCGGGGTGCCCAGGATACGTGGGATACCTGGGGTGCTCAGGGTGCCCAGGGTGCTGAGGTGCTCGGGGTGTCCAGGATACTTGGGATACTCAGGATGCCTGGGGTTCCCCGGGTGCTTGGGTTGCTCAGGGTACCAGCAGTGCTCAGGGTACCTGGGGTGCGCAGAGTGCTGGGGGTGCTCAGGGTGCTGTCGTCCCCTCCAGCACCAACTGCAGCCCCACCATCCCGCAGGTGTCAGCAGCCAGAGAGGAGGTGCCGGGGCGCCGCGGCTTCCCCGGCTACATGTACACGGACCTGGCCACGATCTACGAGCGGGCCGGGCGTGTGGAGGGCAGGAACGGCTCCATCACCCAGATCCCCCTCCTCCCCCTGCCTAATGACGGTCAGCGGCCCCAGGGGGCATGGGGATCCGCACTGCACAGTGCGTGCGGTGCCACAGGAAACCGCTGAGCTGGGAAATGAATGCCAAATTGGTGTGGTTTAGCGAGATTTTGGGGAGCCTGTGGGACTCATTGGTGCTGGGATGCTTTAGGGTTGTTTCCTCCCCACCATGTTGTCCCTCTGGGACCCCCGCCGGAGCAGAGTGCTGGGTTTGGGTGTTGTGTTTCAGCCAAAGGGTGCGAGTGGGAGGGACTCGGACTCAGGGTGCTAGGAGTGCTGGCGTGGGGCACAGCTGCATCCCGGGCTCCCAGCACCCTGGTTTTTCCCCAGACATCACCCACCCCATTCCCGACCTGACTGGCTTCATCACCGAGGGGCAGATCTATGTCGACCGGCAGCTCCACAACAGGCAGGTTTGTTCCAATGCCCTTCCCAGCCCCACACCGCAGGGATGGATCCAACACCGCTGTGGCCACTGGCATCGCTTTGGTCTGGAAACTGAGAGCAGTGGGGCAGGGGGTGCCTAAAGTGGGGGTGACAGTCCCTGCACGGAGGTGGCCGGTGGGGCTGGCAGACGGTGAGCATGGGGTAGGGGGGTCCTTCTCACCCTGCAGATCTATCCGCCCATCAATGTGCTGCCCTCCCTCTCCCGCCTGATGAAGTCAGCCATCGGCGAGGGCATGACCAGGAAGGACCACGGGGATGTCTCCAACCAGCTGGTAAGGGCTGGCTGGGATGGCAGGGGGGGACACACATGGGGAGGCGAAGCGGGATCATTTGTCACTTCAAAGCGCTGCTCGGGGGCTGAGGTCTTGCTGCTCTTGGCTGTGATGGGCTCAAGCACTTATTTTTGGCACCTCTTTGATGGGAGGGGAGAATTGGGGTGAGGAGGTGGGATGCAATGGCTTTAAACTGAAAGAGTGGTGATTTCCATTAGATCTAAAGAAGAAATTTTTTACACTGAGGGTGGTGAGGCACTGGAACAGGTTGCCCAGAGAAGGTGTGGCTGGCCCATCCCTGGAATTGTTCAAGACCAGGTTGGATGGGGCTTTGAGCAACCTGGTGTAGTGGAAGGGGTCCCTGCCCCTGGCAGGGGGATTGGAACTGGATCATCTTTGAGGTCTCTTCCAACCCAAACCCTTCTGTGATTCTGTGATTCTATGCTTTGTCCTGGGAAGTGGACAGGGCAGGGGATGCAAAGCCCCAACATGGTGGCAGAGCTGTTGCTTGTCCCACTGCAAGAATCCCTGGCTGACAGCAAGCTGGGTTTTTTCCATGCAACATATATAATTACAGATAATAGATATAATTATAACTGTGGATGCTGCAGAGAGCGGGGGGCTTTGAAAAGTGCCTGGTGACCCAGGCTGAGCCCAGAGAGCACAGACCCTGCTTGAGGTGTCCCCAGGGCGCAGAGTGACATGACTGGGCAGCGGAGCCACCCTCGAAGCTGGGCAGGGGGGATGCGGTGCTGTCAGCCCCGCTCTGCCTGCTGGCAGGTCACACTGAGCATCTGTCTGTCCTGATGCCCACCTGTCTGCCCCACAGTATGCCTGCTATGCAATTGGGAAGGATGTGCAGGCGATGAAGGCAGTGGTGGGCGAAGAAGCGCTCTCGCCTGATGACCTGCTCTACCTGGAGTTCCTGCAGAAGTTTGAGAAGCAATTCATCAGTCAGGGTGAGGCGGGTGGCCGGACCCCCACCTCGGTGCTGGACCTCCGCCCCGGAGCCAGGAGGGGGTTTGGAGACCGGTGCGGACCCCCAGCATCTCCCCTCTCCTGCATCTCCCCCGCCCGCGTC